TTTTGTGTGATATGTGCCATAAAAATCTGTGTGCTGGAAATATTGTGATTAATACATGGGAATCTAAGAATTGTGAAAATATCTTGGTGTTTTCTTGTTTCTGGTAGCTCATATTTCTGTATCTGTTGTATAGGTTGGCACCTAGACTTTGTTTGGTTTGTTATAAGAAAAAAAGATTGAAAAAGCTTAATAAATATATACAAAGAAGATGTAGGGGCTATGTGCATATATGTTAATTTAGGGCCCAGTCCAATAAATTGGTAAGCACCCTCAACTCCCGTTGACTTTGCAAGAGGCACTAAGCACCTGCCAGCATCAGGCCTATAGGTAGAAAAATTTGTATTAAATTGGGCTTTGTATTAATTATTATTATTATTATTATTAAGCAATATACTTCATCCCAGCCTTGCTATGTAACCCATTGCAAAGGGGACAAAACTGACATTAAAGAAGTTGGGTGGGGAATGCCTAAAGGGAGTTAGGAGCACAATACAAAGTATTGGTTCACTACAGGAGGCACTAGATACAATTCTCTGGCCTGTCATATACAGGAGGTTAGATTAGATCAGGGGTTGGCAACCTTTGAGAAGTGGTGTACCAAATCTTCATATTTTTACTGTAATTTAAGGTTTTGCGTGCCACTAATACATTTTACATTTACAGGGGCCGGCGGACGGAACCCCAGACTGGCAGCAGGCAGAGCAGGGCCGGGAATCTGGCTGTCAGGGCCGGTGGACAGAACCCCAGACCGGCAGCACGGATGGCAGACAGAACCCCAGACCAGCAGCAGGCTGAGCTGCTCAGCCTGCTGCCGGTCTGGGGTTCCGTCCGCCAGCCCCTGCCAGCCGGGGTCCCGGCTGCCGGCCCCGCTCAGCCCACTGCTGGCCTGGGGTTCCATTCATCCAGGCCGGCAGCGGGCTGAGCGGGGCCAGTGGCCAGGACTCTGGCTGGCAGCAGAGTGCCACTAAAAATCAGCTCGCATGCCGCCTTTGGCATGCGTGCTGCAGGTTGCCAACCCCTGGATTAGATTATCACCCTTCTGGCCTTCACTTCTATGAATCTACTGAGTAAATCCCAGCAAAAATCCAGATACTTCTGAAACCGGAGGTGTTTCGAAATTCCTAGCTTTTGTCTGCATCATGCAAAGAGCACAGAAAAGCCGAGGAAACACTGATGGAGGGAAAGTTAAAAGGGTCCATGTGACAACCATATACAAGACACGAGGTCTGTCCCAGAATTCAACAGAGACCTGCCAAAAAGTCACTATCATAGTGACCAGGTACAAATGTGATTGTGAGGTGTGATGAGGACTGGACTATATATTCAATAAAATTCATCCTGAGGTAAATTTGTGTATATGTTATGCAGATTTGTAATCAGTAGCTTTAAAAACGTTAGGCAGGGGTGAGGTGGATTTCTGAACCTAACTATGCAAGGTAAAATCTTAGCCAAAACCAGAGGGGTTGCCAGAAAATGGCACCTCCTGATGGCTTGAGACCCTCCATGCTGCCTGTTTGCTCTGTTTCCAGGTGCTGCTTTGTTTGATTGTTAGTCACACTCTCTTCCTTGCTGTCAGTCTCACTAGGCTGACTAGTGCCACCATATTTTATGTACCACATGCTGGGTAGTAACATGAGAGGACTTTGTGTTTCTAAAACTAAACTGGCTCTTTATTAAGAAAACTATTTACGCAGGTGCTACAGCTGCAGCTAGCATTCTAGCCATGTGCCCACAGACTGACTTCCGGGTGCCTCCTCCAAACTCTTCCTTCCTGCAACCAGTGCTCCTCCCTCCAAGTTCCATGCAGATTGCTACATATGGGTCACATCCTGAAATTCTGAGTCAGCTTTCACTCTGTCCTTTAAAAAGCCATGGGAATTCAAGTTTGACTGAGGACAACAATAATTGTTTATTCTTTACCACTCTATGTTACACTGTACAACACTAGTGACAATCCCACATATTCAAAAATCATGAGATTGGCTTAAAAATCATGATATTTTAAAAATATTAAATTTGGTGCCTTTTTCTGTACTTTCTAGCTTTTGAGACTTTGGAGGTAACATTTCCAAGCTTTTCTGTGCAGTAATGAGGGCTAGAAACTTACTTAAAAAAAAAATAGCTGAGAGTTGCAAATAATCACCTGACTCTTGGAGCTGGAGCTTTCAGAAAAAAATACCCCAAATGTAATCAGATAAAATAAAATAAAGAATACTGTTATTTTGTGATTTACATGCAACAATCAGACAGATTGTTTTATATAAAATAAACACATAATTAAAATATTGAACTGGGAAGAAAAGTTATATGGGCAACGAAGTAGGGACGTGCTAATTTCCACTGAAGTCTATAGAAGAGCTGCTAATGGCAAACTGCAGTGATCCGGCTGCCCTGTTACCTTTCATGATCTCCCAGGGAATGAGCTAGCTTTACTAAACAAACAAACAGACGAGAGCCCCCGTGCAAGCATTCCACGCCAGCTGCAAACTTAACTACAGAGCTATTCAAGTGGCTCCATAATCAATGGACAGAGCCAAACATTACACCAGACTGAATGTGCAAGGATGACATTCACACTAGTGCAAAGGACCTGCAGATGTCTCTGTCTACCACTCACACCCTTACTTAAATGATGTATGCATAGATCATCTGACCTGGGCTGAATTTTACCCTAAAAGCCTTAAATGTGGCAGAATTCACTGGTGACCATTTCATAGCAGCACGAGCGTCCATAACGGAGAGGCCAGATTTTCATCTCAGTTGTGCCAGTTTAAATTTGGAGTAACTCCACTGAAGCCAACGGAGTTACTACAGATTTACACAGTCGTAAGGGACAGCATAACCACCTGGCATCCTCAAAGGTCAGTTAATGTGAGTGGCTGGAATGTCCTTCCCCTTAGCTTTAATAACCTCTATTGCTGAACCACAGCTGCCCGGACATTTCTGATGACTAATCAAGTGCAACTAAATTAAATAAAATATTAGAAAAACCTCCAGAACTAACACAGCATGTGCACACTCCAGAAACAACACCCCCAGATCCCAAATCAGACAAGCTCTTCGTTATGTGCTTAACATTAAGCATGTGAGCAGACCTTAGACATTAATGAGATGATTCAGGTGCCTAAACTCATCTGCTGGATCAGGGCCCTAGATGGTCTTATTTTTTGAAAACCTCATCCCTCACTATCCATTGTTGTTGTTTCCCCCTCAGTCCTTAAACAGCCCTGATCCTGCAATGAACTCCATGCAGGGGCAGGGTCCCACCCACACGGACCTCATTTCAGGATTGGGACCTAATTTGGGACTCATTCCTGCAAGGTGTGAGCACCAACTCCCACTGACTTCAATGAGCACTCAGCATCTTGCAGGACCAGGCCCTTAGTTAGCTTGTTGCGGCAGGATCCGTGCCTTTTATTTTTCTGTACAGAAACATGCACTGCAAACCATCAGACGTGCTGATATGATGATGCATAAATAGATAATACATTGGAGCTTTTGGAGTTTGGGAAACATCCTTCTTGTGGTGGGGGAGGGATAGCTCAGTGGTTTGAGCATTGGCCTGCTAAACCCAGGGTTGTGAGTTCAATCCTTGAGGGGGCCACTTAGGGAGCTGGGGTAAAAATCTGTCTGGGGATTGGTCCTGCTTTGAGCAGGGGGTTGGACTAGATGACCTCCTAAGGTCCCTTCCAGCCCTGATATTCTATGATTCTGGCACTGAGGAAAACAGGGCAGAGTGGGAGGGATGGGGAGAGGGATACTACCCTAGCTTGCCAGGGTCATAACTAGCAATTCATGGGAGTCATAACCCTCATCATTTTTATCACAAGTCTTGCACTATTTGGTGTTTCCCTGCTGCCCCAGCTCCTGAGACAAGCTATTCTTGTGACAATTGCAGCTTTCATTTTTAAAAGCAGTACTTTTCTAGCCCTTGTGATTGCAGAAAAAAAAAGACTGAAATGGAACCCTAAAGCACACTGAATATTCAGCAACCAGTAAACCAAGGAAAAGATCCCCAACTTTAAGAATCTCAGGATTTCTCTTTTACGGCTGAGTCACGATTTTTGAATGCTTGAGGTTAGCAATGCTGTAACGTGGCAATCTAATCTATCTATCACACACACGATAGGCCCAAACCAAGACCCTAGATCAGAACAATCCCAACCTACTTTAGAGCCACATCTTAAATGTACAGCTAACACCCAGCTGTAATGAGATATAATGGAAATAGCCTTGTAACATTTTTAAACAGCCAGGCCACCCAGAAAATTTTGTTATTCTCAAAACAAAACAAAAAGACACACAGAAAAAGAAAAATCCCCTTTGTGACAATGGCATTCTCCAGAAACACGCCTGTATTTTAAAAGGTGGACGTCACCGCCATCGCGCCCGCTCCATCCCCCTGAGCTGTCGCTCCGAAAATAGCCCCAGCTGTCCGGCTCCATCTCTCCTCAGAGCCGTTTGCAGAAATGCGAGCTGAGAGTGGGGGGTTGCAGCTTGAATTGGCACCGACATGGGGACAGAGAGGAGCTCAGTGAAAAACTTACCAAAGAGAAAAGCAACACTTGGTTTATGCCTGGAAAATGAAATAAAATAAAATCCGTCCCTCCCAACACCCAGCTTCCGCACCCCCCACACCAAGCCCATCTGTCACACAGGTTGACATCCACAAGCTACGAAGGTCAAAGTTAATCCCCCGCAAGTAACCTCTCCAACTCTCTTTTTTCCATCTTTCCACAGCTCTTTTGGAGGCTGTTATTTAGACTCCTGGTCGCCCAGACAAAATAATCCAGTGAAACAATCCAAATATTGCTCAGGCCAATGTCTCCTTGACCTTCAGCTCTGTCGTCTTTCACCTCAAATGCCTTTAACAAGGCAATAAATACTCAGATGTAATTAATGTGGACTCCAAAATCACCTCCCTCCTCCCTCAGCCATGAACAAGTCCCTCTGCCTTCCTCAGATGAGCTGCTTCCCAATATACACCCTCAGGACCTTACCTGGAGTCTTGTCAGAGTCTGAGAAGGCAAGCGGCTCTCATCGGGATGAGGGAAAGCAGATCCTTACTGAGACACACACAAGGAAAAGGGGGAAAATGAGGTGTGGGGGAGACCATCTGGGTTTTGGTCCCCCCTCCCTTCCAGTAAATAAAACAGAAACCCCAGCGAGGGTGCGGACGTGCAGTAAAAGGTCCCCTAGTCCCCCTGCAGTGTCTCCACTGCTTGGGGTGTAGGCTGTGTCGCCCCCGGCCCCACCCCTCCCCCTGGCTGTCCTCCTCCACTCGAATTGCTGACGTGCTTTGCTCTCCTTCTGCCTCCCAGCTCCAAAATAGCCCTGGGTGTCATTTACTGGAGAGATTAAATTTCATCTGGTAGAGAGGCGAAAGGGCATAGTTCTAGGGACTCAATCGGCCCATCCAAAGAGGAAAAAAAAAATCAGTAGAGGTGTGAGTGTGCATGTGTGTGTGTTTGTGTGTAACAGGCTGCGGTGCCAGGATTCATCAGGACTGCTTCTCAAGTGTGTATCCTAGAGCCAAGTGACAGCTGTTAAACAGCGACAGGAGAACAGGCTGTTGGCAAAGTTTATCTGTGTTACAAGTGTCTCCTTAGTAAAAAGAGGAATTCCCTTTCAGATCAGTAACGGGGTTTGTGGAAGAAAGCGCTCATTTTAGGGTTGGCTTCTTTGACCAAGGACATTTGCAGAACAACAACGAATAAACAGCAAATGAACAAACCTGACGGTGCCACTGTTTCTCCAAATATTAAAGTGTGGTTCTACTCTGAAAACTGACTCTGCAAAAATGGCATAGTGAGATTGCAGATTTTCTGCCTCTGTGACTCCTGGTCATATTGTCTCACATTACAAGTAAAAAGTTATTTGCCCAACTACCACTTCCTCAAGCACAGCCTCGAATCCAAGAATTCATTCTAGTCTACACATTCCTGCTGATGAAGATTCCACAACTGGAACTTAGTCAATAACTGTTGATAATGCACAACGCTGAATAGAATCCCGCTCATTCTCCCATAGCTGCACTGTCTGTGCATGGGTAAACAGGAGAGAAAAGTAGTGAATAGTTATTTGGGGCAGTAAATTAAGCAGATAACATCCCAAATACACACAGGGAACAGTACTGGTTGAGTAAGAATGTGCTACTTTTACATAGGGAGTGTTGTTGTAGCTGTGTCAGTCCAAGGATATTAGAGACACAAGGTGGATGAGGCAATATCTGTTATTGGATCAACTTCGGTTGGTGAAAGAGACAAGCTTCCGAGCTTCCAGAGAGTTCTTCTTCAGGACCTGAAGAAGGTCTCCGTGTAAGTTCAAAAGCTTGTCTCACCAACTGTAGTTGTTCCAATAAAAGATACTACCTCACCCACCTTGTCTCTTCTTCTACATAGTCACTTTTCAAAGCACAACAGCACTTAAAACAATAGACAAGAATTAGACCTTTCAGGCTAATGCCTGCCATGAGATTTCTGAAATTGGAAACAATTGCTTCAGGTTATAGTTGCACAAACAATGACCCATGATGTAATAGGAATCAAGTAAACCACTTGAAATTCAGTTTTCAGAGTAGCAGCCGTGTTAGTCTGTATCCTCAAAAAGAACAGGAGTACTTGTGGCACCTTAGAGACTAACAGATTTATTAGAGCATAAGCTTTCGTGGACTACAGCCCACTTCTTCGGATGCATATAGAGTGGAATAAATATTGAGGAGATATATATACACACATACAGAGAGCATAAACAGGTGGGAGTTGTCTTACCAATTCTGAGAGGCCAATTAAGTAAGAGAAAAAAAAAAAACTTTTGAAGTGATCATCAAGCTAGCCCAGTACAGACA